TGAATTATATACATATTTACTGAAGTAGAGTTATTTATTGGAGCGAATGTTCCTTATTTTGTCAATATAGATGAGCTGTTTATGCAGGAAGTTATGGGCATCACATACAAATTCAGAGTTTCTAACATTTGCATTGCTTTGGATTCAAACCTACATGTACCTTACACAATGACTTCAATAGTTTGCATGAATTGTGAAAGGCTTTTTTTTTTGAAATTTATGTTTTTATTCTAACAGTTTCTATCCAAAAGGAACAACTGTAACATCATAACCCTCTTTAACCTCTTAGTTGTGTGCTTTTGACTTTGTTGGTTGAGGAAAAAGCTTAAGCATACCAAAAATATATTTACTCTGTATATGTGACATCATGGCAGGAAAAATAGTTTTTGCAGCTCCTTCTAAGCCCCTAGTTTTGCAACAGTTTGAAGCATGCCATAACATTGTAGATATACCACAGGTGAGGCTTTCTAGCCCTCTTTTTTTGTGACTGACTGTACCTTTGTGTTTCTAGTTTATAGTTTGTGGACACAATAACAACAAACCTAGTATAATTCTAATTATGTTGGGGCCTGGGGGTCAAGATGTGCGCAACCTTACCCCGGTAAAACAAAAAGGCTGTTTCTGTTAGACCCTTGATGCACAGATGCATTTAGAGCTTGTTCTCTTCAACTTATTCTGATTACTTATTTTTACTAGAATCCTATCAAACCAGATTAGACCAAATGATATAAAAAACAACTTTAAATATAACTACAATTAGAGATCAGATCTTAATAGAATCAGATCAGATCTAATTAGATTAGACAAAAAGAACAAGCTCATACTAACCAAAACTTCATAAAACATAAGAAGGAAGGGAAGCTAAAACATTGTTTCCTTTAGATTATTTGTGGACACAATATGTTAACATATTTACAAACTCTGAGACAGTTTTTACTAAATGGAGTGCAGGAGTGTGCGATTGATCTTACTGGTCAAACAAGTCCTATTAGAAGAGGTAGCTTTTGGAAAGAAAAACGAGTTTTCTTTGTCACTCCACAAGTGCTGGAGAGGGACATCCTTTCTGGTTAATTTTACTTTCTGATTTGTTTTCCTTTTAACAATAGATTCATGATAGTATATACTTGCAATTAAATGAATCAAAATTTGTGTTAGTCTTAGAATACCCTCAATGGCAGGTTTAGAGATTGTAGAATATAATAAAAAATTATAAAGAGAGAAAGGTGTTAGGAATCAGAGATCAGAGGCGGTCAAGCGGAAGCGAACAAACACACACACACACACAAATAGCAGAAAATAAGAACACGAGATTTAACGTGGTTCGGTCAGTAACCTACTCCACGGGTTGCAACTAGGGTTTATCTTTTATTAGGTGCTCACAGATTATAGTAAATCAAAATGGATCTCTAAACTATCTGCGCTTCTCTAATTAATGAAGTAGCAGTTAGTCAAGCAATGCAACTTTCGACGTTGAGCCGGGGGTCTCTTTGGAAACAGCCTCTCTACTTTCGAGTAGGGGCAAGGTCTGCGTACACATACCCTCCCCAGACCCTACTCTTGTGGGATTTAACTGGGTTGTTGTTGTTGTTGTTTGTTGATTGGGTATTTATAAGATATAAATTAGGGTTAACAACTTGCTAAACAAGAAACAACTAATGGGCCCTTTAATTAATAACTAAAACCGGCCCCCCATATTTCTTCTCTTTAACCGACCGGGCTTAAAGCCCAAAGCTCTAAAGCCTTCACCGAATAACCCAACAATCTCCCACTTGAAGGATTTCGCATAGACACAAATGCCATCCAAGTAAACCCATCATGAGTAACTGAGTAATCTTCACTGTCAAGTCCTCCAAGCCTCCAGTTCCAAAGAACAAGCTAAGACTCCAGTTATATCCCCTAGTTGCAACCACCCCCTTCATTAATAACCTGAAAGGACAGTTGAAGCTCCACCGAACTCCAACCCAGTCGTGACTGTAACCGCCACAGCCTCTGTCTCAACCGGCTTGCACAATCCACCGGATCCAGAGATACACCGAGGACCATTACCACTCTCCAAATCCAGCAAACTATTCCCAGGAGAGATTTTAACGTTCGGATTCTTGGTCCTCAAAACCCAACGACGTTTCAGAACTGTACTCGGAACACGTCC